GCCTACACGAGATGAGGCAGGATAAAGAGGGATAATCCCCCTCGATCCCAAATCATTGAGGCCAATTTCTAGCCATGGAATAATGGCGGGCGGCGCGCGCTCGCGCCACCGTCTCCACGATGTGCGGTTTCCACGTGAGACGCTAGTCCATCGCTGGACCCGTGACCATTTTCATCTCACTTTATATCTAATCACCATATCTCTCTCTCTCGAAGTTCCATCCATTGTATACTATCAATATCAAATCTATGATCTATGGTGAACAGGGATTTCTTAAATTAAACTGGTGAATCATAAGATAACCCCAAATTTTAACCTAAAATTTTATTCTATTTCTATTTTAATAATATTGCAATTTTTAAGTCACAACAGCGAAGAATTCAATTTTAAAATGTCATTATTTAGAATTATGTGGTTACGAAGATTCATAAGAAATAATACTACACCTATTGCAGTTGACAGAGCTGCTTTGTGGAAAAAGAGGCTTTCGGTAGCTTATATGTTAATAACCTGGAATGCTTTTGGTATGGTTTGTTACATGATTTATCAAGGCAAAGGTGACTGGGCTAAATTTTATGGTGTAAAATCAGAAGAAGAGGCAAATATGAGCCCAGGTTTGTAGTTTTTAGGTATATTGTGGACAAGTTAAATACCTGAGAAATCTGGGACACACAAAACTAATTTTAAATCGGTATATTTTGACTTCACCAGAATTTATTGAATAGAGAATCAAGGCAAATAATCCCATTTTTATTTTAAAATTATAGATAACTGTTTAGTCAAAAAGATTTAATTTAAACAAATAACAGCAAAACTGAACTTACTGATTTAGTGTTTTGTGAAGAAAATAAGAAAAATGCTTGTAGATAGCAGTAGGTAGATGGTCGGTCAATAGCCGCACGGTTTAAGGCGTCAGTACTTAAATCGATGTGTCGATCTGCTCGGGTTTCGAATCCTGCGGCCGGTAGACCATAGATTAGCTATGCTTGTACGGAGGATTGGCACCCTCTGTGCAGGGATGGTAGGGTGGAAGAATGTTGGCTTGGGTCAATGTGAAAGATTGACACTGGTTGGCATTTGATCACCCCCCTAATTAATGAGGTTTTCCAGGTTTCCCTCATTCCTGCACTGAATGGTGGTTAGGGCCTACCAACATGTCGTTCCTGGGCGCAAATGCGGCCTGCCTAATAATAATATGCCGCCTCCTCTCCCGCACAAGTCTCCAACTTCTGGGCTAATTCTCGTAGTTAGAATGAGGAGTAGAGGTATTATTATTATAAATAACAATTTTTTTATTAAAAATGCATAACAATTTAAAATGTATTCATACATATAATTTATGTATACTTATGCAAGTAGGTATATCAATAGTTTATCAAGGGAAACAAATGCTTTATGGAGATACAGGGCATATAAATATATATAATTAAAATTGTTACTCAAAACTGATTTCGAATTAAATATTGAAGTTCGTTATATTTTATTTATTTATAGCTGCAGGTTTTTTAAATCTTGCAAATGTGACGTTCCTCTTGTTTTAAATAAGTAATTCGAAAACAGTTAATGATACGACAATTGCTGAAGAGATGTTTTTAGTAATAAATTAGTTGCCCATTTAAAACATTGTCTCAAATTCTGCTAACCTGGCAGTCGCACGCAGACTCCGAGTCTGCAGATGAATCTTTTTGTTATTCTGGTAATTATACAACCCGTAACTCACAGTACCTTTCTGTAACGAGGTAAGCACGATTAGTATACCTAGACAGCTTAGTGTGTAATAGTTTCAGATTTCTAGGTAAAAGCGGACTATCAGTCCACCTGTTCAAATTTTTATTAGAGGTACGTCTAAACCTAATTTAATGGAATGTTGAAGTATTGAGTGATAATGCCTGTCATTTAGGACTTCCTAACATAGTTGTCCTTACACTCAGCATTTTTAAATGTGTGTACGGAACACGTTCTTCCTTTTGGTTTATCTCTGGTACAAGATGCAGTACTGCGAAACTTGTTTACCCATTTTCTAATTGTTATTTGACTCGGAATTGGATCTCATGGATTTAATTGAAAGTAACGATGAAATAGACGCGGAATGGTTACAATAGAATTATTATTCTTAAAATAAATTTCAACCACAAAAGAATGTTGAATATTTGACCAACGCTCCATATTCGCAACTAAAATGAAATTTCTCACAATCGCTTTGACAACTGTCGTAAACTTCCATTTATCACGAAAGCATGACTGATTTGAATTTGTGTCTCGTTATATTATGAAACAAACTAACTTTGAAAATGGATATTTCATTCTGCCTGACCCCTAATACTAATAATATGAGCATAAAAACATATTGTGTCATTTTGGATAATAAATTCAGTCAGTTTCAAATAACTTTTTTTATTTTTTCAAAATATTGAATGCCTTATATGTATGTCCATAAGGAAACATTTGCAGATTCATGTTTATACAGGGTGTCCCGAAATTCATGCAACAAAATTTGGTCACAGATTCTTAAGACAAATTTAAGGGACCCGCATATTTTATTTTTGCCAAGTGGCCCCCTCTTTCAGAGTTACAGCCCCCTGAAGTCCGCCCCTAAGAATTTTTTTTTTTTTATATATCTCAGGACCCTGTTGTACGAGAATCACTAAATTTGGTACACAGGGGTTTTATGACATGTGGAATCTGATGGTGCTACGTTTTTTGGCAAGGAACCCCCTTAAGACAATTTTTCGTGGCCCCCCGTCATTGAAGCCAAAAAAATTTGGTCGCATATTTAAATTTCTTAAAAATTATCAGTCCACTAGAAAGCCATTAAATTTAGAAACTTTTGTCTATACTTTTTTTGTAAAACGTAATGTTTTGGAGAAAAATGTCAAAATGTGATCGAATGCATATCGTGTTTTGCCATTTTCCTCAAAAACATTGCGTTTTACGAAACAAATATCAAGACACAAAAAGTTTCTAAAATTCAATGATTTTCTAGCTAACTAATAATTTTAAAAAAATCAAATTTGCGACCAAATTTTTCTAGTTCCAAAGACAAAGGCGCCCACAAAAAAGTGTCTTAAAGGCGTTTCTCGCTAAAAAGCGTAGTACTGTGAGATTCCACATGTCATAAAACCCCTGTGTACTAAATTTAGTGATTCTCGTACAACATGGTTTTGAGATATAAAAAAGACTTCTTAGGGGCAGATGATTTCAGGTGGCTGTAACTCCGAAAGATGGGGCCAGTTGGCAAAAAGAAAAAATACGGGTTCGCTAAATTTGTCTTAAGAATCCATGACCAAATTTTGTTGCATGAATTTCGGGACACCGTGTATAAACATTTCATGAGGAATACATCCTTAAGATGACGTGGTACAGTTTTATATCCCAATATTTTGAAATAAAACGTTTATAAAAATAAAGCTCTGTATTTTTTGCAGGTAAACAATGGGCTAAAACATTAGGCATAAAAAATGCAACTATTTATAGAGTATCTGGTTTCGAAGTATCACGTGAAGAAGTTGATACAGAAAATGAGAAGAAACAAACCGATAATATCAGTACATTAAAATAAATTAAAACAATCACAATTCGATACATAGTCTGATTTAAAATTAAAAATATTTAAAATAATTTACAAAGGAACGTTGTATTACTGTCCAGTCACAGCCCTAGGGTTATTTCGATTTACTCTAAACTTTTCCATTTCTACCATTAATGCAGATCTGTGAATAAAATATGTCAAAAATAAGTAATATTTTTCATAAGAATAGCTCACCTGTAAGATTCATATCGCATAACAATATTTTGTAATTCTTGTTTATATAATCTAGTAAGCATGGCATTATAGCACTCAAGTTCAGAAAGTCGAAACATATCCCAACGTAGTTTATGATCCAATTCTGTACTTGCTAAAAAGGAAAGTATGGGTGATTTGCAGGCTTCCATGACAGTAGTTAATGGTTGAACAATTTACAGGCTAGTTGCTACTTCGTCAGCTTACATTTGATGTTTTGAGAGACATATTGATCAAGTTGTATTTCTGGTTTCAAGTGTTTTCGAAATTCGCCCCACTTTCCAATTCCAGTCGGAAAGCTGAAAAAAACCGCTTAAACCGACATCTATAGTACCCAGAGTCAAGGACAATGGCCTGGAGCTCCCATATGATAATGCCCAAAGTGTGGCCGTCCAGTCTGCTCCGAGCAGCACAGACTGCTCCATATATCGCTGTTATCGCCCCAGACTGATGCTGAAAGTCTGGACTACGCTTTATGACTGAACATTAAAACTGGAGATTCGTAATCTATTAAGCTGGGATGGAACCCTGCCCAGTGCTTGCAGCGCAATCTAACCAGGGATGAGTGCCTGGCTAATGCTTGCAGCACGATCAAAATTTTTACAACACCATATGCAAATGTCTATAAGCAATATCATCAAATATATTGTAATATACTCTGAGGTTAATACTAAAGTAAAACTATGGGATTCCATATTGAGTTATATTTTCTCAGAGGAAAAATAGCCATACAAGCCTAGGTTAGTCCCACCTATGGCCTCAAAGATCCTCAACAGGTGCACAGCTCTAAAGTTGAAAAAAACAACAGCTATAAAGCTGCCAAACACGAGGCAATGGAAAAAGCTCCTAAAGCTTACAGACGCTCTATAGAGGCCTCAAATAACTATTAGAAACCAAAGTGCTCCTTAAAATTGGTGGAAAAAACTAAACAGGATCAGTCAAAACCCTCAGAAAACCAAAATTTCTTGGAAACCAAAAAAGCTAGTGAAGTGCCAAAGTGCATCTCCCCCTCCGTTTAATTTCATGATAATCCAAACAATCGTATCGAATGGAAAAGGCCAATATTGCTGTACCACGACCTGGCGCTCAACGTGGGGCTCGAACTATGATGAGCCTATATTCTCATATGTCCCATGTCATGGTGTGTTACAAGTCATTCCTATGATTATCCAATTGGACGAATCAATCTTGCTGTACCACAACAAAATCAGATTATTTTAAATGAGTTGGTTCAAAATTTCAGGTAGTTCCAAACGCCTCTCTTAGTTGAAATAATTTTGATTTTTTAGATTTCATGTTTATATATTACTTAGGTCTATTAAAATGTCACCTTAACAACGTAAAGAAATCAGCAGTTGCAGAGTATAGGGCAGATACCAGACATCTATAGGGCCTGTTAATACAAAAATTAGAGGTAGAAGATTTTGGTTAAGACTCTACAGAAGCGATAGAAATCTACAAAATTGAAATAATTTCAACCAAGGACTTAGAATTACCTGGTACTTACAAAGGACTCATTTATAAAAATTAAGAAGCCAATGACTTCAAACAATGAACTGAAACGTCATGGACCAGTGCACACAGCAAATATTAATATTGGTGAGAAAACTAACAAAATCTCAAGTTTCAGATGTTCTTGTGATGAAGAAAGTGATATGTCTCTCAAAATGTCTGAAGACATGGCAATCAGCCTGAAAATTGCTCAACTACGATATAATACATTCTGTCAAAAAAGTATCTGGAATTTGTCAAAAAAACAATATATCAATTGATCATCAAAATTTATTTGCTTCAAAATAGGCTCCATTTAAAGCAATACACTTTTTCCAACGACCAAGCCAGTCGTCAAGGTACTTTTTAGACACATGTTCCGGTATGGACTTTAACTCCTTTTCTATGGCTTTTATCGACTTGAAACGTATTCCACGAAGTGGTAATTTGAGTTTGGGAAAGTCAACAGGGGACATATCTGGCGAAAATGGTGGCTGTTTGATGACATTCATTGAGTTTTTGGTCAATCATTCACAATTATCACTTTGTGTGATGGTGCATTATCATGGTGCAAAATCCAAGAATTGTTCTTCCATAAACCTGGTCTTTTGCGGCGGCAAATACTCTCTCTCCAAGGACATTTAAATAAAGGGGACTTATTTATTTACATTTCTAGATGAAGCCTGGTCTATTCACAGTCTAATTGTATCATTGTTGTCAGCTGTATAATTATACTGGAAATGTACTTAATATTTTTATCGCAATTTTCATCACAATTGTGATTATAGGATAGTATTATTAAGTTATGCATACAATATTGTTAAATTCTGTACATATTAAACTATTTTTCATTTTTCATATTTGCCATGTTTGAAGACTTGGCAACTACGCAATAATTTGTAGCGTGTTCCTCGTTCGTTCTGCCGTGGTTGGCAGAATATGGCGTCTCTTGTTAGAAAATAGTTGTGATTTTAGTAAGTGAAACGTGATTAGTGTTTATACATGTATTTTGGATAAACTTTTAAGGTGTGAATATGGTTAGACAGTGCAGAATTTGTAAGAAATTGGATTATAAACATCCACATCAGCTATCCTTCCACAGGTACGCGTGCTTGAAGGTGACTTTGGAATGTATATGCAACTGTGGCCATTGTCGTGCGTGTGGGTAACTTTTATTTGAATAACGGTAAAATTTTATAAAACTGACTTGGTATTTTTTTAAAATTTTTGCTGAAATAGTAAGAAAACAATAATATGAACCATGTTTGGCCATTAAAATCAAAGGAAAATGCTGCACCACAAATAAGTTACAGACATTATTTATATTTAATATATTTATAGGTATTTCAATCTCAATATTTCAAAAACCTTTTCAAAAATATATTTACAATTTTACTAAATGCACGAGCATAAAAACTGAATAAATACAACAGCAAAAATATAGTGGTTATTCACTTATACATAAAAATACCGAAGATGCAATCAACTAAAAGTTGCATTCATTCAATCATTTGATGTTCTCCTTTGGGAATACATTTTTATGTCTCACTGAAAATTTGCCTCAGTATTCTAAAAGTGAAATGTGAACGTTTTTAGGATGCTTGGGGATAGTGCAACAAGAAAGAAATGGTTACAGTTATTGGGATTCCAAGAAGTTATAAAAACATTATATATATTTACTATAAAAATACTGAGTAGCTGTTGAAATATATTGACTTAGGACTATAAAATATTTTATTTTGACCCATCCAAAATGTACGACATTGGAGATGTAATCGCGCGCATCAGTTGGATGAAAATAAAGCCCTCTGCTTTCCCCTTGTCTAGCTTCACCCAACATATGAGATAGACTGTGACATGCATAGTCCCCTTTATTTAAATGTTCTTGTCTCTCTCAAACACCTCATAACGCCCACATAATATGCTTTGTTAACTGTTTCTCCATCCGGAAGGAATTCTGTGTGGACAACACTATGATAGTCAAGACTTTGATTTTTGATCGATTCTGACATGGCTTTTTTGGGTTTGGCTCATTCGAAAAGTGGTAAAAGCTTGTTTGCTCGTTTGCATGTCAAACTTGTAAACCCATATCTCGTCATCCATTATGATACTTTGCGTGAATGTAGTCCAAATCAGCTTGTCCAAGCATATCTTCAGCAACATGTTTGTGATGCTCTTTTGGAACTAGCCATGCTGCAACCCATTTCATACATCAACTAAAATGGTGCCAACTGATTTGTGAGATATGTTTAAATCATATGCCAGCTCTCTTAAAATATAATGACGGTTTGCAAGCACCATTTTCTTAACTTTATCGATGTTTTCTTCAGTTGAAGATGTTGAAGGATGTCCAGAATGTAGCAAATCATCAACCACTTCTCGACCATTTTTGAATGTTTTGTACCATTCGTATTCTTGAGTTTTTGATAAAACTGAATTACTGTACGTCTTTCCCAACATTTTCAATGATTCAACACGAGAAATTTCATTGGTAGCACACAGTATTCTTTGTTCAATAATATAAAAATAGTGAAAACCACAGAACACACTTTAGGTGGACTAACAAACTACTTGATGGATCAAGCTCAAATTTCACATCAGATAGAGTACAGTGCTACCAACATTCCGTCAAAAAATAAATTATGGGAATTTTTAAATGACAAATTCCAGATACTTTTTTAGCAGAATGTATATAAAAGAATTTAGAAGATAAAAAATAAATGAAATATTAAAAATACATTCACATAAATTTACTTACTTTTAAAATACACATTAAGCCAATGCGGTATTTCCTCTAATAAATATGGGTTGGCAGGAACTAATACACTGTGAGGTTGATAATGGGTAGGTCTTGGCAGAACATACCGCGTATAAGACTCTGGAGGATAACTGAAACATGGCACTAAACAGGGATGCTCATATTGGGCTCGACGAGTTATATGACTGCAATTTAAATAAAATATGTATTTCATATTGATTTATAAATTAGTATTTACTCACTTTACATAGTATACTCCATAAATAGGAGACTGTATACACTGCCATCCTGTGGGCAGACCTTCTCTTTCTAATGGGTGAGACCAATGTGTTGTTTTAGTATTATGATCTATATAGTACTTTCTTCCTCTAAGGGTATAGTCAACAGACCATCCCGGAGGTAATGGCAGCTCTTCTGATTGCTCTAAAAGTCAAACGGCCCAAATAATATAAACTTAACAAAAATAAAAAGTAATTAAATATAAAAAAAAATAGTTAAATTTTAGTATTTGACAAAATGTACGAAAAACTTATTTTCAAAGTCATATCATGTAATTGGATGGCTCTTTATTATAAATTAATTATAAATTAACGAAAAAAAACTTGATATAAACATGTGTTCCGAAAATTCTTAATTTTCGAGACAGAATATTTAAAATCATAATGCAATTCATTTTAAAATACATACAAACAGTTGAACAAAACTTCATAAATAATTTTTTTTTAATAACTTGATTTGACAATAATTACCTAAAAAAATGTGCATCCTAACATACAATTATCAACTCGTATAATAAAAAAATGGAAATTCTCAGTGCAGACTGAATGTGAGAGTGCAAGTAAGTCGAAGAGACAGTTTAATTGCAAAAGCTGTTGAATGTGAGCACAATTAGACCAAATAAAATGACGAAAGCAGTGATGTCAACTGTTTGTTTTTTATTATTTTACTGTAAATTTTCTTTGTCATTATTTGAGGGAACATTCATGAAAAGGTTTGCAAGGATAAATATTACTCTGAAAAAGAATTTTTCACTCAGGATTTATAAATACAGTAGAGTTCCGTTATTACAACATTCAAGGGACAATGGAATCATGTACTAAACGGGTGATAATGATAGTGATATTGACATAATTATATACCACTTATCTGTTTTTAGTCCTCATACAGAACCTTCATAAATATTTATAAGCCACGTGACCACCGAGCTTAGGTAACCAACATTGTAGGGCTGGTACTATTAATGAAAAATCCTTAAATCCTGGAGTCACCAATATTAATGATTCGTTTACAATGAACAATGACAAATGAGATAATGTGATCGCTAATTGGTTGAATAAAATTACACCAATTACAGCCAATGAAAGAGAACGTTGTGTTTTAATGTAATCTTGATCTTACAGTTATAATTTTATCAAAATTTAATTGCCAACATGAAGGAAAAAAATTACTGTTCCAAATAAAATTACTGATCACATGGCTTGTAATTATTTATGAAGTTTCTGTATGTTTGACGAAGACTTGGTAGCTAGAATCTAACTTCTTTTTCTTTTTAACACGGTGAGTTTTATGGCAAACTGTTTCGGTGATATCATTATTAGTATCAGATATACATAATTATCAAGTATCACTGTAACCTTATTTAAAAAAAAATACAAGTTTGATTTGTATCATTGAAACATAATATTAAATTATAAAGTATTTCCTTGATATTGAAAGAATATTTTAGCATTTTCAGCTAAGCAGAAACATAAGTTTCTTTTTGTTTCTTCCGTTGAATTATAATATCTGATTCTTTATTAAATTGTTTAAGCATGATGGTGTGCCAGTCTTGAGAGGCTGGGTTTTGGGGATTCATATTTTTGTTATACAAAAACGATACAAAATTATAATATCTGATCCTTTATTAAATTGTTTAAGCATGATTGTGTGCCAGTCGTGAGAGGCTAGGTTTTGGGTATTCATATTTTTGTTATACACAAACGATACAAAATTAGGTCACTGAAAGTCATAAAGCATTATTATAAGCCAACAGAAATTCATATATTATCATGTGAAACCAAAATTATGGTTGGAAGTTATCAATATGCAGCCTCTCATTAAAAGAACGTCTTAACTAAACTCAACTGTATTTTTAACAAAAATATTACCTTGAGTATTTTCAGATCTTCTAAGACTATGTCTTAAATGATGCGCTAAAGACTCTCCATATGACATACCCTGAGATTGGCTTCTGTATCTCTCCAAATTGGTATTGCTGTATATAGGGGTAGTATCTTGGTTTGAAAGTGGTACAACTGAATTTTTGCTAGTATTTTGATATATTGGCGAATGAGTACGGTTGTAATTCGTATCCTTATAGGCACCATTATTGTCTTGTGTTAGCGGATATATCTGGTCTATATCTACGTAATTTGCATTACTCTAAAATTATTTAATGATATGTTATATTTTACAAAGCCAAGAAAGTCGGACTGAAGTAAATACAAAGCCTTCCTAAATAATTACACGACTGGTACTGTCAACTAGAAATCCCTAAATCTTAGCATCATCAATATTAATGATTCGTTTACAATGAACAATGACAAACCATTGCGTCTCCGCTCGAAATAATGTGAATGCTGATTCGTTGAAAATCTTGTGAAAAATTACACCAAGCTGGTGAAACAGTGTTTTAATGTAATCTTGATTTTACTGTTTTAATAATTTTTAATTTTTCCGAAATTTAATTGCCAACATAGTGGAAATAAAATTATTGCGGCAAACAAAATTACTAGTTACGTGGCTTTTAATCATTTATGAAGGCTCTGTGCACACACATACAATGTGACTAAAAGAAAACACCCTTGTAAAAAATTTATTTATTGTACAATTTAATATGGATTCTTTTTTTAAAGACAAAGATTACAAACTCTATTACGTTACATGATACTTGAATTAATTTTCAGTTATCACAAGCCTACTAAATATTTTTCACTTTCAAATTTGACAAAAATAGGTTAGTGTTAAATAAATATGACTACTTCACTGGATTTTTCACTTCCCCAATTGGGTTAGTACCAAATTTTGTAAATTTTGTGATCATTTGTTCTTCCTTTTTATTCCCAAATTCAAATTTTATTCTATTACATCACTTTTTGAATATTTTTCATAACAATTCTTAAATGTTGGGGTGTAATTCTCTAAGTTGCAATTATTCTTTACCTTAATTCTTTGGTTGGAAGTTTAATATTTAAAAAGAGCAAATTAATGAACATAATATATTTGTTGATTTAATTTATTTATGATTTCATGAATTGCTTACCTTGTTTAAGAACAGAAATATTATTAATATTATAATTAATAATCAGTATTTTTTCAAGAAATTTGGTACAAACTCAATTGAGGGAATGTAGAATCTAGTGGCAGTCACATTTTAAACAAAAACATCGCTAACCAATATTTGTCAAATTCAATAACAAAAAGTAGACTGATAAGTGAAAATAAATTCAAATATCATGTGACGTATTAGAGTTTTTTAAACTCCATCTTCAAAAAACCTGAATTAAATTGAACAGTAAATACCTTTTTTGCAAGGGTGTTTAAATTTGAAATGGGCCACATTGTATTTACACGTGTGTGGTTACACTGTCTGCACCCTGTCCTTAATTTCTGACATGTATACTTTGTTTTAATCGATTTAGTGAGTATGAATAGCACATTTGTGACAAACAATATCAAAGAAAGATTTACTGAGTATCAAGTATGGTCATTACAGACTAACAATGTAAGGAATATCAAAATGGTCAACAAATTGAATTGATTTTACTATGCCTAAACTATAGCAATGAAGTGACAAATGTACATGTCATGCCAATTAGTATCTACGCAACTGCAGTAGTTTATTTAAAAATTTTGTATGAATTTGCATTCAGTGCAACCACTGCCTAATACATTTACATATTATTCTTCTTAGTTCAGAAACTTACTGCTGAATTATCAGTAAATGAAGCTCCAAAGTGTTGGTTCATGTATATGGGTTGAGGTGAATTAACGTTTTGATTTACAAAGTTTGTTGCTAAGGCGGCGCTACTATCACTTGAATTGCCAACGGAGAGGTTGGCAAATCTTAAAAAATAAAAATTATTATTATCTATAGTCATTCAACAAATACAAATTAGATCAATGATATAAATAAAATACAAATGGCAATGAAATGGAAATAAATAAATATAAAATGTAGGTCTAAATAAAGGGATAGAAGAAATTTATACATTATTTTTGACATGGAATGTTGATTAGTATAGTTTTAAGTTATTCATTCGTTATACCATTAGACTGAGAGATGAGGGCTGAGAGATGTGGCAAATATGTGCTGCAAATCGAACAAAATTTTTGCACAAGTCAGTACTCCAGGAAAATAATGATAACATAAATATAATCCTTGATTATTTTTATCGTCATTATTACCATCATTGCATAACTTCATGACATATTGTGTAAATAAATAATTATAAATCATCAAATGATCATAAATAAGCAACTAATCATATCAAATTTTACATTATAAATATATCTAATGAAATTATTAGTACTGAGCATAAAAAGCACTAAAAATTATATGTGAAATTTAAGAGATTTTTTGAGCAGAAAAATAACAAGGAAATTAATATAATTTCCCTTTGGAAAAACTGAATAGATAATTTCTTTAAAATAATATTGAAATATTCATAATTTGAGGAATATTTTGTAAAATTTTTAAAAATTTAAGCTATGATTAATTTTCATACACAAGTATGTTATAAAATATAACTTTTTGTTCTTCGTTACTATTGTTTTGTACTTCGTTACTATTGTTCTAGACTAATTAGTAGTTTCGCTTTTAGTTCTTCAAGGATTAAATTTACTTATAATCCCTCTAATAAATACGCAAAGGCCCATCGAAACAGTGTAACAATGACACGCATGAGATGCAGTACATGCAGTGAACGTGCATCAAGCAAAAACAAACACTCCATGCAGTGAATCAAATATTTGTAGCTATTACACTGTTTTGGAGGATGCTTGCATGTTTATTAGAAATTTAAGACAAATTTAATCCTTGATATTTGTGTTTGTGCGTGAGTGAATAAAAAGTAGATCTAAAATAAAACTGAACCATAATTTAAAACACTTTAATCGCCATGTGACCCGACATCTGAGTTTCCACAAAATTATACCACCAGGCCCTGTGACCGATATATGGGCTTCACGACTTGCTTTCGTTCTTGGCTCTGTGAATCGCCGTTAAGTTCTTGCTTTACATTGCTTCATATGGGATATTAATGGGAAATATGGGGCCTGGCCGTCCCAAACAGCCTTTGACCCTTAGATTTTTTCGTTTTTGATTCAACAGATATGCATAAAATATTCGAAAAAAAAAGTTTTTGTTTTTTCATTAGTATCTAATGTAATATCAGAAATCCACTAAAGCTAATTTAGGAACTGAAACATGGTATCACTTGAACGTCTAAACATAAACAACAAAAAATAAGTACAAAAATTATTTGTGACCCTTATGAACGTCGAAAAAACAAGACAAAAAGTAAAATTTGTTGCAAGCTACGCAAGAGAACCTCGACTTCTTTGCCTTTAGCTGGGCTTGTTTTCGACCTTCATTGCTGCAGATTTCGTACCAAATAACACATCTATGGCGGTTTCTGGAGTCGGTTTCCTTTAATGCATGTTGTTCAGTGTAGTTTTCGTTTCCTTCTTCCACATAATTCAGTTTCAATAAACTCTTAACAATTTCTTCTCTGAACTCTATTATAAATATGTGTCCTTTTGTTACAGTCTTGTGACTTGATTCCATTTCTCAAGGGCATGGAATATAACTTCAATTGATTGGATGAACGATTTACTGTCATTGTAATTGCATATAAGTATCGGTTTGTCAATTTCTTCGCAATGTCGTTGAACTTTGGTTATGTCGGCTATATGGCAAGTACTAAGAGTAAGCACCTCCCGCTTGTCTTGCTATTTTATGACAACCACCCCGTTATTTTCTCTAGCAACAATCTCTCCCTTTTTCAGCTTTTTCGTGGTCACTTCAACGGGATTGAGTTTTCTGTTTTTTTTAAGGGTGCCGACTAGGTGGGTTTCTTGTTTTAGGAGCTCCTGTGCAAGACCAATGCTAGTATAGAAATTGTCCATAAAAAGAATCCTGTCTTGGTGAAAAAATGGTTCCATAAGTTCAAGGACAATTTTTGTTGATGCACTAATATTTGGATCCATGTCAATTCCAGTGTAAACTTTTAGGTATCCTCCTTTGCAACAGATCTTGTACAGCTTTATTCCAAACTTGAAGCATTTATTTTTTATATACTGTTAAAACAGTAGACGACCTCTAAATGGAATTAAACTCTCGTCTATGCAAATTTCTCGCTCCGGAACATAAACTTCTTTGTATTTGTCAGTAAGTAGTCTCAGCAAAGGATTTAATTTTTCTAAACGGTCACCAGGAATAGCGTCTTCATTATTGCATAAATGTAGCAAACACAGCAGCAATTCAAATGGTTCGTGGACATCTTTCGGAAGAATTTATTTGAATACAGTGGGCTTCTTCTCTAATCTGTAATCTTAGGGTATTTTGCTAAGCTCATCTACAAACAAATTGCAAAGAATGAGGTAATTTCCTCCGCATCAGTGTCTTTCCATCTATGCAGTATAGAATGTTGCTGAATTCCTTTACTGATCCTTTTTTGAGCATAACGATTTGTTTCGGTTACTATAAGATTTACTAAATTTTCATTGAAGAATATTGTAAACAAATTGACAGGTGTCTTAGCCAGATAGGATTCCCTAATCTCGTCAGAGGGGCCTACTGGACCTACTAGGAAATCAAATTTCCTTAGAGATGTTCCGGAAACAGTAGACCAAGTCGCATCTTCAGTTGCTTCATCAGGATCATCATCGTCCAATTTGTCATTATCCATCGTGCAATATTTCATAATAACTGCCTCTATAGCATCTTCTACAGACGAGTTTATATTCTGTGGTTGAGAAATTTCCTTGGACATTGAAGGAATGGCACCATCATGATCTTGACTTGCTCTTGGCTTAGATGTCAATGCAATACTTTCTGGTCTAAAAAATAACTTATATAATACTACGTAAAAAAAAGTAAAGAAGAAATAATTTGTGCATACAATACAGTAAAAAATATATCATAAAATTTGGGAGAAAAAAAAGAAAAATTTTACCTTTTGAATCTTTTATGCGGCCTAAAATCTTCGTCTGAAGAATATTGGTTAATAGATTCAGGATTGTATTCATCTGATGAAGACCCACCTTGAAAAGGTTCTTCTTCCGAATCAGACAAAAGTTCGTCCCAAATTTTTTGTAATTCTGCTTGATTTCATTCGTAATCACCACTCATTTTCACTTTCAATAGAACGTCTTCTCAGTATCAAATAAGAAAACGTAATAAGCAAGTGCCGGCGGCGACACGCGTATGCTGTTCGAGCGTACAAACAAGTCAAAACAGGCAATGCAAGCCCGTATGATGTGTGAACCGTGTTTGAGTCACAGGGCCTCACAGATATACAGGCTCCAAGAACTAAACGTTGGTTCACATTTTAAAATTGTTTTATTTACGAAAAAAATATCTCACAATGTAAATTATTAAATTATTACATAATATTTTAAAGTTAGGTATCAATAAAAATATCTCTAAAGAGAGTTTTGGCTTGGGTGGAAAAATTTTACTATTTGACGTGGGCGATTAATGTGTTAAGATGTAATATTTACAAAACAAAAATTTTCTAAAATAAGAAATAATTATTTTTTTTTTATAGAATTTACCTATTTTCTCATCTCATTATCTGCTTTTGCACCTCATGTACATTCATTCTTTCTCACAATTCTTGGTGGATGTTCTGCCTAATGTATCCTAATTATCAAATCATTTAAAGGTAAAACTATAGACAAACTTATTTATCGGACAAATTTGGAAAAGATTTTGAGATTATAATATGTATATCTATTACATTACAAATTAACATTATATCAATACTGTCAAACAAAAATGGTTTACATCCGTTTTACACATATGATTAACTTTTATCCACATATTCACATTCTTCATAATTTTATTAACACTTAGTAGCTAGACAAAATATTTTTTATGCATATTATCAAGCAGTTATTCAATTTTAATAATACCTGGTAGCCAAATCAGGCACTGAAGCACTTGGAGTATACTTTCCTTCATGGGCGCCAAGGCCAACATCACTAATTGTTGTTTTCTGGTTGCCAAATTTCTGCACAGTGACTTGCGAAGCACTGCTAACAGTATTAGGAGGAAATGAAGATCTAGTTTGATTAGAATTTCGTCTCTTTGGTTCGGTAGTCCAAACATTAATAACTGTAAATTAACAAACAAGTTAGTAAAGAAATAAATGTAGATTACAATTCTGCGACAAAGTATTTAACTTACTTAAGTACTTCCAACTTGTTAAATAATCATAAATTAAATAGTTTAATAGTGTTAATGTATATTAAAAACTGAATAACGATTTTCATCTTTGTTAAGCATGAAGAATTAAATTGATTACAATTTTATATAAAGTATACACATATAAAAATGTTAAACAGAATAGCTCACTAATAATAAACGTCTATAATATTACAACAAATATATATTTGAGTCCCTAATTCAAAGGAAAATATTTTTTTCTATGAAGTTTGTAAATAATGACTATCTTATAGATGTATATAGCAGCAATGAAATTACTTACTAGGCATCTCTGGTGGAGTATCTTTCTTAACATATTTGCCAACAACCCCCTCTTTAATCGTGCGTAAGTCCTTATTTTTTCTTGACAACATTTTAATAAAATCCACAAAATTTTAGTCGACAAATATGCATAGTCAATGATTTGGTATATCAACATAAAAAGTGGTGAATATATATAAAAATCCAAGATAAATTTGTAATATGTAGGTTTTTTTACTTAATCACTTAAAAATTATTAGGCAAAACAAACTCTTAATATCGCAGATTTCTTAGAAGACCAAGCTAAAGGCACTATATACATTTGCATTGTTAACTTTTAATTTACAATCAATATTTTCTCCAAAATTTCTTTTTCAGCACAAAGTTTCATTGTTTACAAATTTTTGGTAATTATGACATTTCACGTTCACGCTCATTTAAGGCATGCGTATTAAATAAAAAGAACTTGTATATTTAGTTGCCTAATTTATATATTTATTATCAGCGGGAATATTTAAAAAAACTACCGTTCAATTTAACACGTAGGAGTTGCCAGATATGAGTTTAAAAGGGGCTTTCGTAATTCAAAATAAACCTCTTACAGTGCAAATTTGCTTCCTTAAAAGCTGCAAGCATCTGAATTAAATATTTTTTTCAAATTTTTTACAGTAACGATTTTATTAGGTACCTACTGTTTACTTATGTAAGTTATTTTTGTTTAAAATGTCGTTTTAAGTAACTGTAATTGTGTTGCTAACCAAGTTCTAAATTTGTATTATGTTGACGTTGAACTGAATTGAGTAATTTACTCAAGTTGTTCGAAAAAAATATTCTATTTCAGTTAAGTAATTGTTTATAGTTCTTATTCACAAATATGTAAATATAAATATATAAGCAATATATATATAGATAATTTTTAAATTATACTATCATTAATAATACTACCATAATTTAGAAAAAAACTACGGTATTGCATTGCACCAGAAACTCAATAACTCAACTTAATACATGAATAGACTCCAGAATTTAGTTGTAACAAAAACTTTGAGGTAATAATCCTGTTGAGGTTACGGACAGAGAATGCACTCGGAGGAACTATTCAGTACACAGATGGGTCGAAGACTGATCAGTGTTATGGGGCTTGCATCTTGGGTGAAATGAAATACTCTCATTTCAGCATTTCACTTTCCAAATGGAGATGTATGCAATAGGTACTGCTCTGTTTAACAAAATAATAGGACCAATACAGAAACAAACAAATCAATATTTTACAGTCAGACTCCCCTGAAGGCAGAAGAAAATGCTTGGAAGAACTGAAAGCTCTGGTGGATCATATGTTAATTCTGTTGTGGGTGCTAGAACATTTAGGAGTTGAGGGTAATGAAAAAGCTAAGAAGTTAACTACAGGGGTTTTGTCAATTCCATATATTGATTTGGAACACATAAAACTACAGTAGGGGCCAAATAAGGGAATGGGTTGATAATCAATATACAGGATATTAGGATATTTTTCCCTAAATGTATGTGTCGGTTCTCCAAAGTCCCAAAGCACTGCAGAAATTTATGGGCTATTGCGTTTCTCAATTACAGCGTCTTGTTAAAGTTCTAAGATTTCTCCAAGTCCAATTTCACTGATACAGCATTTCATTTGATCTCTTTCCTAAGGAAATATCCAAGGTGTTCTTTATAAGCCCTCTTGCAAATTTATCTGCTTTCCCATTTTTTTCAATGCCTTTATGCCCTGGCATCAAACAGCCTGACAATGTAGTGCTTATCAGTTCAGTTAGTAATTGCAAATAATTCCAACAAGTTCACATTGAATCTAAGGCCTTTATTGCAGCTTATCAGAAAATACGTATATAAGTTTACATGGGTTTACTCCATCAGTTTTCCATCATACATTTATATTTATAATTTATCTTGGAATACCGTAAGGACAGTTTTTTGGCCAACTCAATTCTATAACTTCAGCTTGTTTCATTGTATATTGACTGTTTTCTCCTGAATTTCATATCTGAGCGTCAAAACACCGATGGAAATTGAATTTTCCAATCATTCTGACAGATCTCATCTCAAGAATAAGCTTTGACAGTAATGCATCTAAGATCATGAAAAACTATTTATGAGGTGCAATTTTCCATTTATCATTATTCCTAAGATGACATGACTGACATCGCTTCCCTTTCCACCACAATATGAAGTGTGGCTGATATAACAAGACTATTGGATTCGACACTATAACTTCTGTTACACTGATGCAGGTTATTCTCTAAAATTTTTTTAGTATTTCCCTTGCTGCAGTTCGTTTGACTTTATGAGCAGACCATTGCATTATACAGAAATATTTTACTTACGAGATAAACATCTAATCTAGCATCCTCGGTTTAGTCCCTACCTATAGGAACCAACTTGCACATATAATGCTTTGTCTTTCTTGTTATTTTTTTTAAATATGCATTTCAATGAAGTCTTGACCAAGTCTTTTCCCTCTACTGGGGCAACTTACCCAGACACTAAAGATGGTACAATTTTAGAAAGGAAACTGAAGGACTTATGTCATTAGGCAGAAATTAGTTATGTATAGTGACAGGTCCTTACAGGATATTATGGCCTGAGATGACACGTATAATAGAGAATACAGACTTAAAATAAAGCAACAGAAACAACTTATTATATCATGTGCGAGTGTGAAGCATGAACCAAATTTGGATCCAGAAAAATATCACTTCATAATAAAGCTGTGCAAATTAGTTTAAGGGGTACTGGACTGGAATGAGTACGATTGAAAATAAGAGATTCAGTATAGTAATACACATTACTGGGGTACTTCTATAGGCATTCTCACTAAAAAAACTTTTTTACCATTTCCCAACTTAAAAATGTTAAAAGTTTGACCCACAGATTATTCGAAAATCATTCAGTTTCTATTTAGTTTTTATCATATTTATTTAATCATATCAATCCTTGATAAAACCACCTACAAAAGTTTATAAGCACAGGTTAAATAGTACATGTTATAATAGTTATGCTTTATAACAAGGTATCTAAATTTTGAATTGGGCACTTGACAAATGGTGCGGGGCTATTTAGCGTATTTTTGTTAGGTGTGCTAGGGGGGAGTGTGCAGGGAGATAAGTTGGTTGTTTTTCAAATTCCTACGTGTACATATAATAGGGACTAAACTTTAACTAGTAGACCAACGAGAGCACACAAACAAAAGTACAGAAAAATAAATTTCTATAAAATCGAGGCACTGGTGCCCCATTGTCTAGCGTGCCTTCATGTGTGGGATGAAATAGCTCTCCGTTAGATGCGCCACTGCTGACAAATTTTATTACCCACCTGTGATGTGACCTATCTTTACTTATGCCTACTTAAAGTCTAAATAGTTCATTGTATTTGCACCAAATATAGTAAAAGAATTACTGCTATAATCAGACAGAACTTGTAGTAACTGAATCCATGAAGTTTTCAAGAACGTAAAATAATATAATATTTAAAATGTGACACTAAATCAAAGATTAACAAAAAATGTCTATGCAGCTAAAACCTACATTTTTATAGCTTGTTGTTCCAGAAGTGGGCTCATTTATAAAAATGCAATATTTTTGAGACATTGAAGCAAAGATTTTTATTTTGTGGCAGTACGTTTTCTGTAAAAAAAAAAACAAAAAAAAAATGGAAATGCAGATGGAGGGGTTGTGGTAAAAATATTGTTCTTTAGATGGTTTTATTTTTTCACTTCTGTAAAATTTTTGAGAATAATTTTTCCGGGATAAATGTAAAACATAAGATCTTTTCTAATGGAGCATACCGCCTTATTTAAGTAACACCGTTCACTTCATGCTTTAGACAAAGCGGAAATTGTAAATATTATTTCCACACGATACTTTAGACTTACTCTGACTAAGCTTATGACTGGCGCCTCATAGGGTATCTACTGATTTCACATATTAAAGCTTATCGAAGTGTTACATCACCTATAATTTTACTTCAATATATTACCAGCTTCCTTGGATACTATGGTAAGCCGATTAGAAAATGGCATACTATTTACTTTCAACCATTTTTTATGAGAAAATCATATTTTTCCAAATAAAATGGTTAAACGCAGATATTGAGTACGATGATACAGGCTGTTTCAGAAAGACCTCCTGTAAATACAGGGGGTGATAGTACGTCAAAAAATAAGAATTTTTTTGTCTAATGAACTATATGTCTATCTCCTCTTGTTTTTGAGATACTGAACGACAAAATAAAGTTTTTAAAATAGAATTTTTACGGAAATTCCCAAATGGTGCAAAATATTTTTAGGAAATTTGGTATTTCGAGGGTTTTAAGAACGCCAAATATGCTGGTTTAATTATTTTTTATATATTTCATAGAGGGCGCTAGTTATGCAACATTCCGATTACATTATAAGTTCAAATTTTTTTAAGGTTAGGTCCACGTTAGGAAGTTCTAACAAGAGTACATTATTTTTAGAAAATAAAATTATATAAGAAATTGGATTTCAAATGGTAAAAAACCTAACCTTAAAAAACTAGAATTTAAAATGTAATAGGAATGTAGCATAACTAGTGCCCTCTATAAAATATCCAAAAAATTATTAGATCAGCGTATTTAGCATCCTTAAAAGCCCCGGAATACCAATTTAATAAAAATATTTTGCACCGCTTCGAAATTTTCGTAAAAATTCTATTTTAATAATTTTATTTTGTCGCTCTGTGTCTCAAAAACAAGATAGACATATAGTTCATAGGACAAGAAATTCTTATTTTTTTACGTACTATCACTACCTGTATTTAAAGGAGGTCTTTCTGAAACACCCTGTACATATACAAGATGTAACTAAAAATTAAAATTTGGTATGCAGCTAATTTTTAAATATGTAGACATATACGCCAGATTTTTACATGCAGGGGCATAGTTTTGGGAATTTTATCATATTTTTTTTCCTGGAAATATTTCCAACTGGACCCATTATTGTGATAAGATATTAAAGGCAGAAGATGGGAGTATCAGAAAATTCAAGTTTACCTTATAAACTTGTGTTCTGTTCCTAACAGTGTCAAAAATACAGCATGTTGAAGAAAAAATATATTTTCAAATGAAAATAATCTTGATAATCTTTGATTTATTCTTCATGTAATTGTTTTACATCCCTTTATATTATTAATGATACATATTTATATAACTGACCTGCTTATTGTGTCATTATCTTTGGAGTCCGTTAACTCAAAAATTGCAAGTTACATTTATTTTTCATTCAAGTATTCAGAATTCATAAAATTCAAATTATTTTTCTGGCATAAAAGTTATCGGATGAAACGGGTGGTTAGAAATAACTGTAGTGTTTTTAATCATGAATCTTATGATAAAAAATTTAAATAATGGTAGATACAAACATGTGTTTTCTT